CCAAGCCTGTCTCTCACTCCCCTCTTCAGCAGTACAGGGGGAGAAAATAAGATGAAAGAAGCTGTGCATTGAGCTAAAGGTAGTTTAATAAAAAAATACAACAAAGGCCACATGCGAAAGCAGCACAAAACCAAAGGAGACTTACTCTCTACCTCCCATCAGCGGGCAATTTCCAGCCATTACCTGGGAAGCAGGGCCTTGGTATGTGTTGGAGAGGCTTTGGAAGACAAATGTCTTAATACTGAATGCTCCCTACCTGCCTCCTGCCCTGCCTTTCTCTTAGGTTTTATTGCTGAACACATAGTCACACAGCTTCGAATATCCCTTTTGGTCAGTTTGGGTCAGCTGTCCCAGTTATGTCCCCTCACAACCTCTTGCCCACTCCCAGCCTACCAGTCTTGGGTGGAGGGAGGAGTGGGGGAGAGTTGATGCTGCCCAAGCACTGCTCAGCAATAGCCAAAACATGGGTGCATTATCAACACTTTTCTAGCCACAGGTACAAAGCACAGTATGTATGGGCTGCTGTGAGGAAAGGTAACGCCATCCCAGCCACGGTGCCCTAGTCTATGTCAGTGGATATATTCACATTGTCATACAATGTCTTCAGTTTCCCCAGTCGTGGGTCTTATGTCCAAATTCTGTGATGTTTTTAGGTGTCTAGGGGACTTGGAATATACGTGTGGGAGTCAGTGCTGCCTAAAGTGAGGTATCTAGTCTAAACAATTAATTTAGGATGAGTCACTATCTTACTTTCTCCATTGACTGCAGTGGGAGCCTACACAACCAACTACAAACAGTGAAACCTTTCAGGCAGCTGAAGTGAGGTGAGCTGAAGCCTTGCCCCAGAGCAGCTTCACTGAGGCCACCATGACTTCAAAACTGCTATTCTTTGTCATGATTCTAAGTATTTTGCAAGGGCCAGTACATGTATTTGGAAAGAAATAATGAATTTAGTTTTCTTTCTTGAAGGAAAGGATATCCTGAAAATATACTGGGATAGAAATCTCAACTCTCTTCTTCACAGATCTTTTTGACAACTACATGCAGCAGGATGCACATGAGTTTTTAAATTACCTTCTCAACACCATCGCAGACATTTTGCAGGAGGAGAAGAAACAGGAAAAGCAAAATGGGAAACTGAAAAATGGCAACATGAATGAAGCTGAAGAGAACAATAAACAAGAACCCACCTGGGTGCATGAGATTTTTCAGGGAACACTGACTAACGAAACTAGATGTTTGAACTGTGAAACCGTAAGCATTGGGATAGATTATTTTTTTTAATTGTTGCCATTAATTGATAGATAGATTTTATATATATGCATATATGAATCTTTTCAGACGTCTGAGAATTGTGGATATTCCTGTAGACTTTACTTCTCGAAGTGAGTACATTATTTTCTAAAAGTCTATTTTTCTAAGCATTACTTGGCTAACTATGCCAAGTCTTGCTGTTCTACTATTTATCTCTACAGATAAAATCCTTGCTAGCTAATCAATACTCTTATTACTGTTACTTTGAGAGAAGATATTCACATCATTATTCCATAAATAAGTGAAATGTTGAGATTAATTTGTGCTAGAATGTAACTGCCATACAGATGGTTTGTTACTAACAAACCGTATGTTTTATCTCCCTAATATTTTCTGGACAATGCTGTCAGTTTTAAGTCTCTTATGTTTGAAATATGAGTAAAGATTAGTTTTAGTGAGGTAACCTGATTGCAAGTCTCCTATCATTTTCTGTGATTTTCAATCACATGCTTCTACTTCAAGGAAAAAAAAAAAATGGTGTGGTTGCTATGTGAAAGAGTAACACAGGCAGGAAAAAATCTGAGGGTGAACAGTGACACTGACTTTCCAAAAAGGTTGGAATAACCTTTGGTTTGTAAAAGGTAATTTTCTCAGCTCCTTCTGTAGATGATGGAGATTGCAAAGGAGCTTCTGCAGGGAGCTCTCTCCATCTGTCTGTAGGCTGCTTCCTGAAGCAGAGAGTTTTTAGCAGTGTCAGGTATTCTGCTCCATACACCCTGTCCCATCCCCATGGTGTTAATGAGCTGTTGCAATTGTTGGTGCGGCCATGCTGTGAACTGGGCCAGCAAACTAATCTGGCCTAAGAATATGTTTTTTACTCAGAGCAGTACTGCTACTGCCTCTAAAGAAAATACAACTTTAGAATATCCGCATTAAGATGGGAGCAGGTGCCTAAAGAAGGTGTCATCAGACAGCAGGCTGAGGTCAACTAGCCAACTTCAGACAGTTGAAGTTACATGAAATAAACCCTACTGAGGTCTTACTGGATGTATAAAAGAACGCATTCTGATATTTCAAATCACAGAGAATAGCTCTGTACTCGAAGAAAATATGAATTTTCCAGGGATTTGGGTCAGAGAGGGGAAAAATAAGAGATACAGTGATAGTCAACAAGAAAAAAGGAGTTGGACCAAGTCTGGAACAAGCATTTATAAGTGAAAACATGCAAGAGATATTGAAAATTAATCCTTTAATATTTTTTCAATTATAAAATCCCAAGTCATAATATCGAGTTAAAATCAGTAGAAGGGTAGAATTAACAGACAAGCTTCTTTAAACACCTGTGGCCTAATTCTAAATTATTATCCAGTGTTTACTCAAGCTGTACTGAAATCAGGATCTGTCCTTGGGTAGCAGCAAAGACCTTCAGCGAGACCTAGATAGGCTGGAGAGTTGGGTGGAGAGAAACTTGTTGAAATTCAACAAGGGCAAGTGTAGAGCTTTGCATCTGGGGAAGAACAACCCCATGTACAGGTTGGGGGCTGACCTGCTGGAGAGCAGTGTAGGTAAAAGGGACCTGGGGATCCTGGTGGGCAGGAGGATGACCATGAGCCAGCAATGTGCCCTTGTGGCCAAGAAGGCCAATGGCATCCTGGGGTGCATTAGAAAGGGTGTGGTTAGTCAGTCAAGAGAGGTTCTCCTCCCTCTATTCTGCCTTGGTGAGGCTGCATCTGGAATATTGTGTCCAGTTCTGGGCCCCTGAGTTCAAGAAGGACAGGGAACTGCTTGAAAGAGTCCAGCACAGAGCCACAAAGATGATGAAGGGAGTGGAACATCTCCCTTATGAGGAAAGGCTGAGGGAGCTGGGTCTCTTTAGCTTGGAAAAGAGGAGACTGAGGGGCGACCTCATCAACGTTTACAAATACGTTAAGGGTGAGCGTCTGGAGGATGGAGCCAGGCTTTTTCAGTGATGACCAGTGATAGGACAACGGGCAATGGATGCAAACTGGAGCATAGGAGGTTCCATGTGAATATCAGGAAGAACGTCTTTCCTGTGAGAGTTACAGAGCACTGGAACAGGCTGCCCAGAGAGATTGTGGAGTCTCCTTTGCTGGAGACATTCAAAACCTGCTTGGACACATTCCTGTGTGATGTGCTCTAGGTGATCCTGCTCTGGCAGGGGGTTGGACTGGATGGTCTTTTAAGGTCCCTTCCAATTCCTAAGAGTCTGTGAAGACTGCACGATACCATATTTATAATTCAAAGTGACCAAGCTTTATGGGAAAAAATAGCACTAGGTATTGCTGCTGTAGGAGGGCTTGACTGTAGTATTCTGTGAGTGCAGAAATACTATGCAGGATACATTTCCAGGTTTTTTTCTTGTATTATTGCAACTTGAAATCTGTGGGAAATATTCCTGTGGATGAAAAATATTCCTCTGCTAAAATATCCATATGTAGTGCATGAAGAACCATTCAGATTCCAGCAGTACTAATTCTCACTTTAAGAGAGTGCATTCTGAGTCTGATTTTTCAGTTAGCTTTAAATTTGGTCTCCTATTATTCTAGCTCCAACTAGCTCATCTTCCCCTTTCAGTAAATATTTGATGTGCTGAAATCAATAACAAAATTCCTAGCTTCTTTGTGGTATTCAGATAAAACACTGTACTTGCCAAAGAATTCCTCTTAAAGTATTTAACCTCTTTCTTGATCTGCAGTGTCTAATAGAATTGTAGTTCCAGCTGCAGAGACATAATGTTCTCTGAAGCTTTGTTGCTCTTTCATATTCTAGCAGTGTGTTTATACTGCAGTTGCTTGCTGCCAGTTCCATGGTTTCCTGTCCCCTGATGGTCAAATCATGCGTCAGGGAGGGGTTTTGTTTCAAGAACTGCTCTTCATGCTAATTTGGTGCACATTTTGCCTCTGTACATCTTTGATAACATTAAAATTCATCCTGCTAGAGGTGTTCCTCTGGATTCAGGACTGATAAGGGCTGCATTCACCACATTTAGAGAATCCCTGACTTAACAGAAGAATGAGCTGAAAGTAGAACAGAATGTTCACATCCATAAAATGGTAGAAATCTGAGCTTGAGGGACTTGTGGCAGAACAATGGATTCAACCCTTCACTCAAGTTCTTGATTTAAACTTAAGTGTTCTATAATCTGATTTAGTTATTCTAAGGAAATGCAGTCACAGGAGGCAAAATATGAAGTGTTCATGCAGCATTTTATAAACATAATTGCCTGTTGTGAATATGACCAAATTCATGGACAATAAGTAATCCTGCAGTTTTTTTGACTCAGTTGAATTATTACAATTACCCATATAGAGGTTTGGGGTTTTTTTTACTTCATCTTCAAGATTAAACATTGTAAGTGAAAAATAATTTTCAAGGCAAAAATAAAGATCTATAATTCTGAAAATGTTTAGGGTTATATTTAAAAGAAAATACGACCCAACCCTTTATTAGAATTTTTCTCCTGTCAAAAAACCCATACCATTCGCAAAATTGACATTATTCGGCAAAATATTATCACTTTGCCATTTTTACCTTAAATATTTGAATCAAAATAGAACCAGGAATAATATTCAGTGGAGAAATGTAGCTGTGTGAACCAGAAATATAAGCCAGCCTTTTGAATGCTCAATGGAGAGAAATATTATATGGTAAAATATGACATTTCTTAACAGGTGCTTATTTGGAAAATATCTTCATTGCATCCTTAATAGCAGACATAATTATGTAGGGCACAAACTGATTATATAGTGTAATATATATATAAAGGGTAAATACAATTCCAGTAAAATAATAAACTATTCTTACAAGGGAACATATGCACTGCAGCAGTCCCAGCTAACAGAGGGGGTGATGGGCCCCTTTTAATGAACCCATGGCTGATGGGCTTGTGTAAATGGAAGGAACAGAAGTTAAATTAAAGGAAAGCTGGATGGGTAGAGTTACTAAGATGGCATGCTGAACTGGAAAAAAAAATAAATAAAAGCATTGCAATTAATTATTTTTGTTTAATTTATTTTTGCAGAAATTGCTCTATCACTAGCTTTTGCATGTAGATATAAAGAGCATTCAGATGTTTGGTGTTTTACTAAGTCTCTGTTTTACATCTATATTTTTTGCAACAGGTTAGTAGCAAAGATGAAGATTTTCTTGACCTTTCTGTTGATGTGGAGCAGAACACATCAATTACACACTGTCTAAGGTAAACTAATATATCTCTTTGGTAGATCTGTCTGACTTTGCTAAATTTTCCAAGTCTAGTAGATACATTAAAAAAAAGTAAAATAACATTGGGTTTTGAGCTTCTCCTAAACAGAAGAAAAAGACAGACTGTAAATCGGATCTTTCCTCTAATCAAGCTATACATTAATTATTATATTTTATTCACTTTCAATTTATGTTTTTGAAAGAGGAAAGAAAAAATTGTCTCTTGGGGAAAATAACTGATTGCCTTGTCATCTGGAAGAACTGGTGCCGAATAATAATTGGCTTCAAAGGGATATAATAATTGGCTTCAAAGTGCTTATCTTTAAGCTTCTGTGCCAGAGCTTTGTTGATTAAGACTTATGTGCATATTAGAAGTTAAGAGTGTGCTTTGCAGAATGTGTGCTAGAGCCCCTAAGATGGTAAAAGATTTCAAAAGTCTACCTTTCTGCCATGTAAGTCTCTTATTCTGAGTCCCATCTTAAAAGCATGGGAGGAATTCTTTTATCCTGTTTCAGTTCTGCTCATGGTACACTCTTAACTACTAAACAAATACCTGAGATCTAAATATTTTTCAGACTCATATGGATGGTTATTCTGAAAGATGTAATATATTCAGAGTTTTGGTATTGATACAATAAACCAATACCTAGATTTAAGACAATATGTTACTGCTCTAAGGTAATAACACCTATAGTGCATATCCATTGTTTTTATTTCCACTAGGAGTTGCAAAGTTTACCACTCCATTTGATCCTGACTTTTAACTAGTCTTTAACTGTGTTTTTTTATTTCACTAAGAATTCTCTCCTCTCTTAAAACAGAGGGGATTTTTTTGGTATTATTTATGCATGTAAACACTGTAGCATAGAGGCTGTAGAGAAACAGACTGTGCAAACACATGAGGTCAGTGAAAAATGAGTATATCTTGAGCAGCATATTTCAAATTCATTTCTACTGCAAAAATCCCATATAAACAGAATGCAGATTGGCCTGTTAATGGGGAGAAAAGAGATATGTCCTGAAACTAGCTCTGAGGTATAGAGAGAAGCTCCTCAAGCCTATAGTTCTTGTACATGCAGACTTTGCATGAACTCCAGTCAATTTTAACTGTTCAACATACAGTAGAAGTGGAGCACTGAAAATTCTCAACTGATGAAACAGCCGCTGAAGTTGCAGTTGTAAAGGGCAGCAAAAGCATGTCATTCTCACCTGCATACATCCCTTCCCCAAGGAAAGAGTTATTGCTTATAAATATGCCACAAATTTTGTGTCTGGTACAGACAAAGCAATTAATATGTGCTGAATGAATTAATTAGTAGTGCCTCTGAATTCCCTGGCTGTGCATCACCTGCTTTGGTAGAACAGGGCACTGTCCTGTCCAGTGGAAGTAGAAGACAAAGGAACAGAAGAACAAATGCTAAGGGACATGTAAGATAATGTCTCTCAGCTTATGAAGTATTTGCATGGTTCTCCAGCTTTCACAGATATAATTCCCCTAGCAGTCAACTTGTAATGTAAAATACTAGATATTTTTAGTTTCAGAATAGTTCACACATTTTAAAAAGAATATAGAAACTCTTTGGGTTTAATCCATTTTCATGGGAGGCCTGGCGTAGAACAAACATCTATCAAGTTTCTATCATCTGTACATGTTTCTTTATGTTAGAAAAAATATTCTTTCCATTCCTACTTTGAAGTGGGAAGGAAACTAATACATTCCACAAGTTTATTTGTTGTTTTTTTTTTAATTGAAACTTTAGTCTTTGAAGATAAATGTCAGATTCTTTCCTTAAAAGAAGACCTAAGCATGTTGACTGCTGAATCTTGCAGCATTATGTTCCTCACACATTTAACCTGTCTCTAATCTGTTTTGAACTTGCATCTCTTCACTCATGATTCCCTGAAAGGTCACAATTTTTTTTCAGAATTCAGTTAATTTTGTCTTTACATTCAAATGAAAAATCAGATATTTGTGATCAATGTTTAGCTCTGAAGAAAATTCTTTCAGTGATCATACTTCATCTTTCTTTTAGATAGGAAAGTATATTTATGATCAAAGTTTTGTTACAACTTATCTTTCGAGAGATGTATTTTGTCCTAAATTTCAGCACTTTCTGATCAACTTGTTTAAGACTATATAAAGAAAAAAACCCTAGTAAAAGCATTCTCAGTTAGTACAAATATTATTCAGTCATATGAAGTGCCTCTCATGGTCTGTCAACCTTAAAGAACTTAAAACTTAACAATGGAAATCCTCCCCTTTTATTAAGTTACATAAATAACTTCTAACACCTACGCCCTGACAATCTGTATTGTCTTCAGCTTTTCCATCTACCACTGCAATGATGATGCCAAGAAGAAGTTATCATCCAGAGTCCTTCCTTTGCTTTTTTAAGATTATTCTGGTGCTGTCTACTGTGTGAGCAGGCTGAACTTGCAAACACTGCAGCTTCAGCCTCCATGCGTGTGAACTGCAATGGCAAAATGGAGTTTATTTGGCCTGGATTTGTCTGTAGTTCGGAATGCTCTTGGGTACAGTGTCAGTGCAAGCAACAGGACAGTTCTGTACTTCAGATATATCTGTTTAAGGCCCAAAGTCACAAGAAAACCTCTGTGCTTAAAGTGGAAGGCAGGTGCTTATGTCTGCATTTACAGTTCTCAAAACACCTCCTTAGCTGCAATGTAACACTAGAGGTGACAAAAAATACTCTCATTTTACAGCTAAGCTTTTTTTAGTTACCTAAAATTCTGCTCCAAAACGTATCAGCACTGGGACTTCTGACAAATCTTTTCTGTGAACTGAGAGACACGATCAAGCCAACCTTCTTCTGCCTCTCCTACTTCAAAAGCTCAATCAAGAAACATTTCAAGCATATTTACTTGATCAGGATTTACAAAATCTTCCATACTAGCTGACATTTTCATTTTTTAGGCAAGAAGAAGGTATAATCAAATAACTTTTGGATAACAGTTCAAGAGATTAGAGGATGCAGAAAACTGATTTCAATGTACTGCTTCTGTGTAAGAGGATTCAAACTTGTCTTACAGAGGAATGCCATAAAATGTGAGCTATTTGGGGATGAGAGAAGCTGTTCCATTCTGCAAATTATTTAAAAAGGGACTAGAGGGATAGAGTGACTACACCCAAGTCTAGGCAGCCCCTGACACGTAAGAGACCGGAATATAAGTCCCACTTAGAGGTACCTGACCCTCCACATGTATTATATATATGGAGGGCCTCAGCTCCTAATACAGGGCTGTCATAGCAGCCAGATACTTCAAGTGCCTTTGCAAACCCCAGTATAGTTGCTTTAGATGTTTTAGAAAACTGGACTCAGTGGAGAAAGGATTTAATCCTGTGTGTCTTTCTAGGGTTCCAGTTCATCAGCCCCAGTGAGGTAATAGTGTTAAGATCTTTTAAGAACTGATAATTCTATTTATTTACAGAGACTTCAGTAACACAGAAACATTATGTAGTGAACAGAAATACTACTGTGAAACTTGCTGCAGTAAACAAGAGGCACAGAAAAGGTAAGCAAAGAGTAGGGTATTTCACCATGTCCCTCCCGGTCTTTAACAAACCTCCTCCTTTTTATTTATTGTGTTTAGATACATAGAAGACTTACACCCCACCTGTGTTCTCTGTGGGCCAGAGAACCTACAGACAGATTCAAATCTATTACATATGTTTTAGTCTAAAAGCTACTGATAGTTGCCTACTGTTACTTACAAAGTTTTCTATCATGCCAAAGTTTACTCGTTAAGGCAGAATTGCTTTGAACTGGTCAGGTCTTTATCGCATGCACTCTAATGGTTTCACAGGATGAGAGTAAAAAAACTGCCAATGATTCTTGCCTTACACCTCAAGAGATTCAAGTACATGGAGCAATTGCACAGGTATACCAAGCTTTCCTACCGTGTGGTGTTTCCTCTGGAGCTACGTCTCTTCAACACATCTGGCGATGCTGTCAACTTAGATCGGATGTACGACTTGGTAGCTGTTGTTGTCCACTGTGGAAGGTCAGATACTTTCATGTGTATCTCGAGCTACTGGCAAGGACAAGAGCATGCCTGACAAAATGTAGGGAGAGTGGGAGGAAGGACACAAACCCTGCTGCTGCACCAACTCACCTATATCATGGCCTGAACCTCTTAGCAACCCTCCGTCAAAATAAATCTGTACTTGCTTAAAAAATAATGTCTCAGGCCTCCAAAAGGCATAAGATTGACTTAAATAAATGCAGCTGCTTCCTTCCTCTTCAGCCCACTTAGAGAGAGAGTTTGGGAGCCAGAACTCTGAGGGCCAGATGCTGCTAATGTGCAGGCCCTACAACAGATCTCCTTGGTCTCCTGTCAAGGCAATGAAAATGTTAGCTTTAATAAAGCTTCTTACAAATGGGGTATTGTCAAGTATGAAACAAACAAAAATCCTAGGGGCTCTAGGAATACAACTTGTTCTTCCTCTTCTCAAAGGCTGTACATAGCTAAACATTCACAGCTGATAACAAACAATTTTCCCACTTAAATTTAGTTCATACTGTTGTTAAAATATTTTAATAGTTGATGCCTGTCATGAGAAAATTGTGTTCTATAGCTTAATTTGCAAATGATCATGGCACACATGAAAACAACATGTTTAGCTTTCAGTTGATTCAGTTTTTGCAGCAAATCAGTAAAAAGGTGAAAGTTGTAAATGTCTACTGTACCACCAGGGGTGGGTTTACTATGTTCTTCTTAATATGAAGTTATAATTCAGACTGCTTGCATATAGCAATGGACTTAATGGCATGTTCTGATATTTTGGGGTTTGTGTTTCTGTTTTCTTTCTAGTGGACCAAATCGAGGGCATTATATTACTATTGTGAAAAGTCATGGGTTTTGGCTTTTGTTTGATGATGACATTGTAGAGGTGAGTATGCTGAAGCTTATGAGCACAACTTCTGTGTTTGTTATCTTCTCTGTTTGGGGTTAAAATTCTGATCCGGATCTGGGTATAGATTACTAGTCTGCAAAGCCACAGTTGGGTTGTAATGTGACGTGTAGCTCAACTTTGTTAGGAAGTAAGATTGCAAACAAAATTATGAATCCTGTAGTTCTTACTCTGACAATGTCAGAGGGGATAATTTTCTTTCATAGCAACATCAAGTGTTTTTAATATGGAAATCTAATTTTGCATATTTTCTATATCTAACAAAATTAATTTAATTCATTAAAACCTAAAATATCCAGGAACTATGTTGCAATCCTGACCAAAATCACTTGGCAAAATTGGACTGGGTAAAGCTATCATTGCTGTAGAATTTTAATTTTTGAGCTACTGGGAAGTTACAAGAAAATACGGATTTTGTGGTTGATTTGGGTTTGCCTATATGTGAATTAGAGCAGTATATGGCCCACAGCTATTGCAAAATGCTTAGGCTGGTTCTGCAATTCATTGCTAAGCAAACCATTTATGTCACTGTGACACCCTGGCAAAACTGAGGGTTTGAGTCCGATTTCCCAGGAGTAAATGAAATGGAGGAAAGTAAGCACTGGGACATTGGATGGAGCATGTCTTGAAGAGGTTTCTGGAAATTTTAGAAAGATGGAGTCACATGGTTACATTTGTGTGTTTTAACAGTGTTCACTACTGCATTCCATACAGTCATTTAATCCATGTTTGGTATTTCTCTTACCCAACAACACGTTGAAAAAAAAATTACTTATTTTGCAGAAAATAGATGCTCAAGCTATTGAAGAGTTCTATGGTCTGACCTCTGATATATCAAAAAATTCAGAGTCTGGCTATATCTTATTCTACCAGTCAAGAGAGTGACTTGGCAAACTGTGACAACAGCACACAAGGAGGCTGCACAGAAAAGGAGGTGATGTCCCCCCTTGACTGACTGACACAGACCACAGCTTGTGTGGTTGGACAACAATACACTCTTGTCTCCTGTTCAATGGTCTATGTGATATCAACTATAACCTTCCATTTTTGACATGCAGAATTTTGCTTGGGGGATGGGGAGTTGTTTGTAGTTTTTAAGTCTGATTGAAGAGTTAATTGCCATCAGATTTTAGTGGAATTTATATGGACTAATGTTTACAGATAATATGATTTGGATGTCAACTGTTAAACTCAATCCAGATAGAGCAGTATTTTATATGGAAATGATCATTTCATTTAATGCAAAATTGTTAAAAACTTTCTAAATGGCTTTGGGTTGTGTTGATTTACAGAGCATTCCTTTAAATAGATCCTGACATATACTTACCCATTTGAAGTGGAAACAAAAAAAAAAATCTATGTAATGATGATTGGAATTTTGGTTGAATAGGGGATTTTTTACATGTTAGTCTCTGCTGCAAATATATATATATATAATATATATATATATATTCTTCCAAAATTATTTAAGCTTTGGGTTCTTAAAAAATTTCAGTGCTTAAACTCAGGCCCAAGTGCCACATAGAAAATTACTTCTTTCCACTGTAATTAAAACCCCTCTATGTCCAGTCACTTTGTTTATCATGAGATAGTACAGATGAGGTGAGTCTTCAGAACTTACAAAGCACTGGAATAAAGGGAGTGAGATGACACATATGACACCAGGATACATTACATTTATAGAGACTAAATTTATCTTTCTCTTAAAATAATATCAGAGGTTGTTTATTTAATTGAGTCTGAAGAGATTGCAATGCTGCTTATGTATAACATATCCATCAGGACTGAAATTACATAGTCCATTTAAGTAGGTGTTGTTTGTATAACACGTATGACACAGCTTGATCCTGCAATTTTCTGAGTATCCGTAGGTCCCATTTTCTTTTCTCAAGAGAGTCCATTTCTTAGCAATATAACATAATGACCATTAATTTACACATGCTGTCATGTAAATATTGTCTCAAAAGTGTTGGCCATGTTTGACAGCATTTGGGCCACCACAGCAACAGGTGTCTGATTTTTAAAAATATCAAAAGGCTTAGGGGAAAAAGCCTTGGTTTGTGTTTTTACAGGGAGAATTTGGCCAGCATGAGTCATGCACAGGCTAATAAAATTGCTGAACTCACATACTGGAATTTAGCAAAGAATGACTGTAGAAGAAAGTATCAACAGGGTAGGAGAAGGGATGGCTAGCAGGTTGAGGCAGTGGCAGCACTGGGTAACTGCCTTGCTTGGTTTGACACTTTCACTCTCATTGTACAATTCCTGAACTTCAGTGGCCGAAGTCCTATTCAAATGGAGTCAACAGTAAAAACACTCTTGTCTCCAGTGGGGCTGCCATTGTAATTCTAAGGAAATATTCTCATCGCACAGCAGTTATTTCTACCTGTTATATTTCATTCACTCTCGTAGGTATTTATTAGAATATGTTGCTTTTGGTTCTTCTTTTCTTTATGGCCAACACTCCATTTCAGGAAATGGCTTTTCAAGTGCAGCTAAATCTTATAGTCTTCTGTAGGAAAGAGAATAGTTTTTTCACTGTAATCTACTGTGAATGTGAAATATCTTTTATTAAATAATGGTGAAAATTAAGTACTATCTTCTACTGTAACATCAATTGAAGCTCAGTTGTATTTACCAATGGCCATTTTTGTAAACTAAGGAAATGTAGCACTTTATACTGAATGAAAAACAGAAGTGGACTTTTGATCTAAAGTAATTTGTGGTTTATCATGTTGTTATACCAATACAAGAAAACAGATGTAGAATGTAACCTTAGAGTATTTACTTAGGTGAATAATAGTAGTGGTCTAGGGAGATCACTCACAGGAATGAAGGATGGTGTGCAGGCTCAAGACAAGCATGATTTGGATGCAGCTCTGGTTATTTATTTATGTTAGAATGAAATGTTCTGTCTCTAATACAGAAGACATCTTACATGGGACTTCAACTCTCACTGAGGTTCAGGAGCTTTTCCACTGAGAAGCTAAACCTGCAATTCCTTCTTTAATGCATTTATTTACAAGTATTCAGAATTTCTGGATAAAAATATAATAGTCTCTTGCCTTTTAAAATGGGTGAAGGTTTCCTCATTGTGGATGAAGGCATTTTCTAGATCAGCATTAACCAGTGCTGGTCCAAAGGTCTGTACTTCACAGTTTACTGGTGAGTATTCTTTGGGCATTCTTCAATTTTAAAACAAGAAACAAAAATTATATTCTTAAAATATCATTTGGATGTTTAGGGCTCATGTTTAGGGCTCATGTTTATATATAAAGTAATTTTTCATAAAAATAATGTTTAAATCAGTTTAATTTTAGGAAATGTTTTCCATATTTCAATTGAATTACCTGAAAGTTAATTTTAAAACAAGTTAATAGTATTAATATCTAAACACTAAAATAGAGGAAAATAATCTTAGGTTTTCTCCAGCTGCGAGACAGCCCTAGGTTGTAAAATAGACAGATAATTACAGTATGTTATAAAGAGTAAAATTACTAGAATAAACCTTTTCGTAAGTTATGAAAAAACATTTTAAATTCATGCTAAGCCATGAAAAGATCCTAGCACTGGTATCACAGCAGTCCAGTGTCAGTGGTCTGACATCAACTCTGAAAAATTGTGGAATAACCACTTTATGTCAACACCATTTAAACTAATGAGCATTTTCTTTTGATTTAAAAAAAAAAAGGAAAAAAAAAAAAAAAAGGCAGTTATAATTCTATAAAACAAATACAGTCTGCAGTGTGCTGAGTGTATTGTCTTGAGCCCAGCAAAAGCTGTCAATCATGGCTGGATGAACAGTGCCTGTCTAGGTAGCACAACATCTCTCATGTGAAATGAAGCACATTGGCACAGGTTTTGCAGGATTGGGATCCTCACAGGAGCAATCTAGACGATGTAAAGTATTTTAGTTGACCAAATAAAACAATCATTTTTGTCCTATGCTTATGTGTAACTTTCCAGTCCCTTATGAAAGAATGGAAAAATATCTAGGAAAAGAAGAGATCTTCTGCCAGCAGCTAGAAAACAGAATTGTAGCACAGATGTCTAATAGTATTCTGTGCTTCCCTAAAATGACTGTTTTTATGGTGTCGAGTTATAGTAGACCTAATGGCATGTGAAGTTTTCTACTTGCCTCACATGCTGTTGCTGACTTGCATTATCTATTTATAAGTCTTATTACTATCTTCTTACTTAGAAAAAAGAACATTTTTGTCCTGTGCTGTTTTTCCATTGAGTAGCAGGAAGCTCTGCAGTGCTGATGAATCCATTATCTTAGGGGATAAGCTCAGACCTCAACTTTTTTGTTTCACAAAAGGGGCCTTCAAGATTTTATGTAATTTGTATTTTTGGGACATAGCAGGGGGAGGCAGCAGAGGGGAGTGATGGAGAACACCTTGTTGAAATTAAGTCCCAAAACTACTCCTGTCAATTTTATTTTAATAATTTACAGTTACCTCAGAGCAGTAGATTACATCTTCAGACCTTGTTCTTCTAGCAATTGGATTGAAGAAAATAAAGCACTAGGTGTTTCCTTTGCATTAGATTTAATAAAGATATTAAGGACTTAACTAAGCTGAAACTGAAATTCACATTACATGGTGGGTCCTAAAGTGCTGCCATAATCTGTATTTTATCTTCAGACATTACATTTCATTCACCCATCTGTTACTGCATCATATACTTGGGACCTGAGCTGCCAGCTTGCAGCTGGCAGTGATTTGGTGCCTCTCAACAGCAGACTCTTCCTGTTCCATCTTTTTTTACTGTTTGTGGCTGACAAATGTGAGCAGTATCTTATAGCTGAATGTGTGCTAGAAATTGTAAGAAGTTCTGGCTGTGTACCTGTTCTTTGCTAGTACCTGTTATCAGTGTTTTAATTTATTTCTCTTTTGTTGGTCTGTTACTCTATTTGTATAATAACTTATGTAGTTAATATTATTTGTTTTCTGTTTTAATTTTTATGTACTTTGATATTTTTTAAAAAATGTAGTCAACCCAAGCACTTTAAGCAACAATGTCAATCTTGTGAAATTCCAATCAGCTTAACATTTTTACTTGGTCTTTTTGCTTTTGCAGCTGTTTGCTTGTGATCCAACACCTCTAGTTACAAGCCAATGTAGTCCTAGTTGGGTTGTTAATTTGTGCAGCCCACGTTTGTTCATAAATGTTCATACATAACAAGGATGCAGTGTTTATGACATGTCTGCTATGTATGTGACAAGTTGCACTCCTCACAGCCTTTTTGCACTCTACCTGCCAATCCAGCTGAGAATGACAGTAATACTCCAGTCTGTGGCACAGTTATCAGTGACTACAATTTAGAAAAGCTCCACATCTCACAGGAGAATTCTGTTTTACCAAACACAGAATTTGCTGTCAATCAGCTGATGATACAGGTAGTGCTCTCTTTGCCATTTTATCTGTGCTCTGTACAGTCTCAAGTATGAATAATCTTAAGAGATGCACTTATTCTTGGCCCTGGTGTGAGTGCTAGCAAGGAGAGCAATTTGCATCTTCCTTTTCCTCACTTGGATTCATATAAATATAAAGATAATCAAGCAGGATAAGTGCTGAAAACCAACAAACCATCTATCAAAGACACTGGATCTTTTAAGAGGCCAGCATCTGTGGATGGATATATCAGAAAGTCACTGATTTTGTGTTGTTAACGCAAGGATAATTCTTAGTTTTTTAAACATAATCTTCTCTTTGACTAATGAGAAGAAAAACAGGAGTTTTCCCTATTGCATCAGTTCTGTTGCTGAGGTGTTTCTTCTCAATATAACATGGCACTTACCTAAATAGCCCTTGGGATGCCTCGACAGACACTCTCAATTTCTTTTCAGTTAACATGCATTGCTTCAAAGAGATTTCTTGAACCTGTCCATAAGACTTACTCAGCTTAACACACTCCTTATATATACAAAGTCAACTAACACCTATCAGGAGGTATGTGCCCACCTGATGGGACCATCTAGGCTAAGCCCACACCTTTTTACACACTTCTTTACACACTAGGAGG